ACCACTTTATACTTTTAGCGACGACTGATCCCCCTTATTTTCCCCTATAAACTATATAATCTCCCAAAAAGAAACCCTTCGACCCCACCCAGGCGATAAATAGTGATTTTTCTCAGAGAAAACCGAGGCCCACAAATCCCGGAAAATGGAAGGAGATGGTGAGGATTTAACGCAGCCAATGCCAGGATGTATCAAATTTTTTTTCCGAAATTATTCTTCTGTCCGTGTGTCGGAATTCTTCAACTTCCTTTGGAAATAAGTTTGTGTTTAGGCCTGTCTTTGAGAGGAATACTTGATCAAGTTATCTCCTTGCAGTGAAAACAACTCAGCCGGCAATAATGTCATTTGATGCTTCGGACAAGAAGAGGATAGACAATAGAAAAAGAGTCAGGATTGATCGGAATAATTCGAAGACTCGGCGATTGGTTATGACTTCGAACAGAAGACCTTTCTTTTACATAACTCATTTTACGGAATCTTCCAGGAGTTTACGTGTATCAGAGAAACAAATAAAGTTTATCGAGAATTGTTTATAGTGCATGACCAGAGATCAGTAGTTGGACTGAAGTGGTCAGTACAATTACAGAACGATCCTGGAAAATTCCGTTGAACATTGGAATAGCTATTTAAAAACGTACGAAATATTTGTCGCGACACTGCTTTTACTATATTGAAATTAACTATGGTAAGAGGTGTCTCTGACGAACAACAAGAAATAGACTTCCGCCTTGTCAGTAAATTTATTGGGACTCAGTGAGCTGTAGAGATTCACCGACTTTACCGGTTTCCTTTTCAAGTCTTGCACACATCATATCATTTTATCGCTGTGAAAGAGAGTAAACATGCTATTTGCCGGCTCCTGCCTAGAGAATGACCCTTAATCAGTAGTTCAGGGCCACTTTGGGCATCGTTGCTCCCAGTAAAGCCCTTCCTTCCGGAAAATAACGCTGTTACTGTGATGATATTACTCTTTATGCGGTGGATGCTCCGCATCGGCGCCTGCCCGTACGGACTTGTTATGTTTGCTACGCATACGTAATTCTGTCAAATTTACATGTACTTTCGATTATATTTTGAAGTTTTCTTTATGTCTCGCCTAACAGGGTCTCTGTATTTAGTATTGAATTTTCCAGTTCTTATTTCGCCATTCCTCACTGACGATATCGATAACTTTGGCCATCGCACAATTTGTTTGTCATGCTGCCCGTAATACAGATCTTTACACTTCCTATCAATTGTTTATTACGTTTTGGTCAATTTATGCTCGCCTGATTGCTACCTTAAAGCAATTTCTGCTTCTTTCCGGGAAAACTTACGAGTTTTGAGACGTATGCAATTTGTAATAGGACAGGTTTTGATGATAAACAATTTCCAAATTTCTACATTGGGTGTGAATGTGGAGGTTTGTGTTGTGTGACCAGCAGAATTTTGACGGTACATCTTAACTAATTCGCTTTCCTTCTTACGTTTCTATTCAGCTTATCTTGACTGTGTTTAGTATCATAGCCGTACAAATTTAAAAGATAGCTTCCTTTGGAACATTTCCGTCTTTATGCCCAAAGGCTTTTTTTTAGTAAAATAAATTGGAACTCTAATTAGCATAGAATACAACACGTGGTTATTTCAAGGAGAGGAAGTCTCACGCTTGAGTGGTTCGACCAATAAGAACATAAAGAATATATTTACTGGGAAAAACCCTTCAATAACAGAACTTTTCAGGTTAAAAATGGCAACATTACGAATTGGGTTTGGCTGCGATCGTATTTTACGATTAGCACATGGAAGTTAGAAACCGAAAGAACTCATCTCTTTGCGTATTCTCGAAGACAGTCCTGTTGTGAATCCATAACTGACCCAACTTGAATTTCCCTCGCAAGTAGATTCAAGAAAAGCGGTGCTGATACTGAAGGGGGCGACATGACGTTGTCAACAGAGCGGCAGCGACTGCGACCCTGGTTAGAGGATAAAATAAACAGCGGAAAAGTGCCCGGACTGTGTTGGCGCAATAAAGAAAAGAAAGAATTTCGAGTCTCGTGGAAACACGCTGGCAAACCCGATTTTGTTGTTGAGAAAGATGCCATGTTATTTAAGCTGTGGGCCGAGCATACTGGTAAATATCGCCCAGGTGAATCTGCCGATCCCTCGACGTGGAAAACAAGGTTCCGATGTGCCTTGCACAAAATGCCAGACGTCGAAGAAGTAAGAGTTCCCCATAGTTTGGACGAAAAGGAACCTTACCGAGTATTTCGTTTCAAGGATAAAGGTAAGGAAAAAAAGTGTAAGGTAAGAGAAAGAACGGCGCGAGTCGAGTAGAAGAGAAACGTAGTCTACTAAATCAGATTTGTTCATGAATGTGTTATTTGAGTCACGCGGTCAGTGCAAAAATAACCCATGACTATCAAAGTTATTTGCACAGGCGAAATAAAAATTGTAGCCAATTTAAATACTGCACTGATGTCTTCCGACATCATGCACGTTACCCTGTGTTCAAACAACTCGAGTGCGACCTGTATTCAAGTTGTGGTAAAAACAGAATTCCTTAACTTAACTCAACGAGAACTAAGTAAAAAAACTTGTTAGTGTTTAGTCAGGTGCGGCCTTGCTGTTCTAGTACTGAGTTAGAGATCTTTGTCTTACGCGGAATGAGGGCAAACTATCTTGTCTGAAGGGCACTCTGATATTTGAATTTGATAATTTTTCACACTTATAGCTGTATTCCAATCATGGCGAACAACAACAGAGAATTAAAGGGAAAATAAAGACAAAATAAGGGTAGACTTTTGAAGTAGTTTTGTGTCGATCACCAGAAATATTGGGTTAGGCTTATTCCAATTTATTCACCAAAATTTTGATGGCTAAATGTATCAAGGTTTTACTGAACACAAAAGTTTTTATCAACGCACACAAGGTATTGTCAATCAAACTTCGAGGAAGTTTACGTCATCTTGTCGCAGGAGCGTTAAGTGCTAGAAAACGAAAAAAACCAATTGATATCAACCATGGCCCCCGGGTATTTGGTTAAAATTGGGCCGTAAGAACAGGAATAAGTTGCTTCTTCCATCAAGATTGATTGTAAATCAATAAACGAACTTCGCAGAAAGAATTGCTTACAAATCACAAAATGTCGGGATTCCCGGTTTATTTGCGAGCGAGTCGTCATCATAACAGTTTAAAAATAATTCCCTATTTTTGATAAAACAATAATTTCAAAACAAGTTAATTCTGGTAGCCACAGCCTTATAATTTGCTACGGCAAACAACGACAAACTTCAGGAAAAATATCGTTTTGAGTGGCATCGAAGGTTCGCGTATCGCTTAAATCGAAAATGTCGAATAGCGTGAAATTTTAATTTTGCATAATTTAAGTTTTGAGTTTCCGTGACTTTGTATTCTCTTTTCCCAGAGATGTCGATCGTTTCGAACCACGTTTGAACCACTGAAACGAAACTGGAGCATGATAACACTTGTTTAGATAGTATGAAAATCTACGAAGTTCGAACCTTCTTTGGAGGTGACGCACGGATAATTTTATTTTGCACGTTTTGACTTAAGGACTCAATGCAAAGCGTTCGAAACTTTTTCTTCGTGTTGACACAAATACGATACTAAACATTTTTTCATACATCGAATGAAATTATTTGATTCCTTGTCATTTGTTTGTGAAAGTGCATTGGAGGTACACTTCCACTTTGTTCAGAAGACAAAAAGACAGATAGATAAAATCATTTGGGATATCATTATGGAGACATTAAAATCGCGTCACAGCCCCTAATTTTAGATCGCACCTTCCTGAAAAGCTTATCAAAATATCAGTCAAAGATGACCTTGTTAGCATAACTTAGTTAAGACCAATGTTGGCCTCAAACAAAAACTACAGTGTAAACTGAAACTAGTGCAAGATCCTCTTCGATCAAATCTTTAGTCAGATAGATTTTCTTTTTTCCGTTTTTTTTTTTCTCGTTCCCTTCTTGTCTATTCTTTTTATAGCAAACTTATACCTTAATTTTGCTGTGCATTCTAAATCGAAAGTAGACTGCGAAGGGAAAAATCTCAGTACTGCGCCCAGACACTCCCTGAACACACCCTGACGCTATCAAGCAGACCGGCGAACTGTGTCACTTGCCAGCGGCTCTACAGAAATTTTATCGTTACTTTATACCTTTATGGCTAATATTCCATTAAAATCTGAGCGAGTGTTCTTTTCCTGTGCACATAAAAATGGTCGAACTCTTCTTGAATTGAGACTTTGCTATGCTGAATTTTCAGGCCACATTGCCCCAGAAAAAAACTTGGGGTCAACTTTTCTGTTCTTTTCAGACAAAGAGACTTCCGTTAAGTAACCGACCACCAATATTACCACGTGGGAGAAAGGAAGTTGTGACTAAGTGATTTAAGATGAAAGACAAGAACGTCGTTATCAGTTTCATCTGGTAACACTATTGTGAAATTTGAATAGGAAGATAAACAAAATATTGAGCTCAGCTTTTTTGTGCCAACTATTCATGAAACCCATTGTGAAGCCTGCGAAGGGCGATTCGATAATTTGACGACACACCTCGGAGACACAAGTATTTATTTCCTTATTTGCCAAAATATACTGCATAATTAAACTTAATTAAGTTTGGGAAGCCCGGCCAAACTTTAGCGTTCCATGGCACCACTTCCCAAAGAAAGACCCGCTGAGAGACAAATTTGCCGTGAGATCTGAATATTCACGATCATTGAAAGTTGATAAATGAAATAAAATTGTCGGTTGAGGAGATCGTCTTTGTTATCGATCGTGAAAAGGAATTATACATGTTTTTGCGCTATCGTGTGAACGAAGATGAAGGATTTTAAACGGTGGTGTTTTAAGTGAAAGATGATGTTGTTCAGTGAATGTCGCAGGTATACTAAAAAAAAAAAAAAAAAATCCGTGTACTCGCATAGGAGTCGGACTCGCGACCTTTCGAATAGTATTTCAGGTGCTCTCCACCACTGAGCTAGAGGAAACTGGAGGCATGATCGATCCTTTAACTAGATCCATCCTGACAAACTTTCTGCACACTGCTAAGATAGGAATGTCGACATGTGATGCTTTCGCGAAGAGAAAACAAAGAAGAAAAACTTATAAATTAAAAACAAACTTAATCCAGGAAATAGCTGGACTTCGTGGAAAATTGAGACAAAAAACGCTTGACGCTTGTGGTGATTCTTGTTGTTAAAATTGCTCCCTATTGATCGCATGAGTAGAAAAAGGAACGTTTGATAAACTTGACCAACTTTATTTGACTATCTGTTCCTCCTTTCATTTATTTCATCTAATTTATTAGCGGCAAAAGTTTAGTGGACTTAGTCAAGTTCAATAAACGAACTATATTGGTCATACTACTTCGACTTATCTCAAGACTCATTACGTACACAGATCAACAGGGGTAGTTTATAAGAAGGAAATAACCCGCGACATGTATTAGAACCGAACTCATTGTATAAACAGTACACTTCCACAGCCCCGGGTTATGCAAGCCACGGAATTTTTTATCCACGCCAGTATAAACGGCCCTAATGAAATATTTCATTACTAATTGAAAAACTTGAAATGAAAACCACTTAATTGATTTTTCGCTTATAAAGAAAGCTTGAAACGTCAAGAAACATCGCACATATCATTGTCTTTTCTGAGATCTTTTCACTAAAAATGTGAACTATCCTTCATTTACTAGCTAGTGCATCTACTCTTAGCGCAACAGAGCAGGCTGGAAATTTTTCGTTCGATTTTTATGTAATAAAGTTAGATCAGTCACTCGGGGTAACTGACAACTGCAGCTGTTGAATCCGTGTTTCGTTTCTGTGATGAGGAGAGACGCCTGGTTCACTTTTAAGGAAGAGTTGATAAGATTTGACACGATTTTTTACAAAGCGGAAGACAATTCATCTTCCTCTCAAAAGGGATATGTTGAAAGATAGTTCGACCTTTTATTAAGGAGTCGATTGAGGGAAGTTGCATTGCACATTTCATACATGTGAAAAAAAAAAAAAAAAAAGGAACTCAATTACAAGCTACAGCTTTGGTATCTCTATGGATAGCCATGATTTCTCCAGTGAACATTTTTTCTTGTGTTCTACAGATGGTTGCTCGCTAAGACAACAAAATTTCAGTTCACCGAGGGCAGAGGAGAATCAAAATGGCAAGCCCCCAATGGTAAGGACAATGCATCATTTTGTTCCGCGTGGGGATGCGGTTTCTCCAACAAAGGTTTAACATCTTTTATTATTTTATTGTAAGAAATATATTATCCTTTTTGTTTTTCACAAATAATAAAGCCCCAGACCTCCGCTTTTCGCAGCACGACGGCCCTGCATGTCTCTGAGAACTGATAACTCGCTGATGAGCCAGGCCTCCATTAAGTACATTTGTGATACTCTTCTTGCATGCTGGGTGGATCAGCGATGTCAAAATTAAACTGTTGTACGTATAGCAAGAGTGAGCATGATGGTTAAGTTTTAGTCCCTTCGTCGAGAAACGGAAGATGTAATTAGTTTTTTCAAGAGTGTAAGGCCTAGTTTATATGTCGAGCTACAGTCGAATTTAATTCAAGGTCCCACAAGCAATTAAATTCGACGATAGCGCGACGTCTAAAACGAATTAAATTTGTCTGGTAAATTAAATTCGTCCTTGACGTTTTATCCGTCTTGGTAAGACGGATAAGACGGATAAATTATCGATAACGCGTCTTCAGTTTTAACGTCGCACTAACGTCGCATCGAATGAAATGCATACATTTTCTTAATGTATTTCAATTTATTTTGGCGAGCCCGCAGTGACCCGTGGCGACCTTTTCAAGTATTCCGCTTGCGCTAAAGCTCGTCTTGGGCACTTCTCGCGCGAGTTTACGTTGTAGTTTACGGCTTTAGCGCTTTGGACGAAAAGTTTCTCATCTCCTTGCAGTAATTGTGAGAAACAAATGAAGTATTCTTGTATAACGTGTGGTAAAAGTGTTTGTGTTCGATCGGAATGTTCTATTCCTGAAGTTAATAAAGAAGCTATCGGCTGGCAACCAAATAAATTTGTTGGGTATTGTCTCAAATGTGCTCCTTGTATAGAAAAGCTTCTCAAAGATTGTCAGAGCGATGTGGATTTTTTCGAGCAAAATTGTTTTCAAAGCTTTAGCCCTCGCCATGTTTTTTTCATAATGACACCTCTGACCAGAGGCACTGCATTTGGGAAGAGAATTAAATCTTCGATCGTATTCATTTCGACGCATAATACCACGCCAAGAATTACGTCGACGGAACGACGAATTTAATGGAATTAAATTCGTCTGAATTAAATTCGACTGTAGCGCGACTTATAAACTAGGCCTAAGGCACTGAAAAAGACTATATTTTTATTTGTTTGATCTCTAGTCCCGTGGAAAGAGCGACTCGGTGATACGTACACTTCCGTCAGCGAAAGACAATGTGTTCTTCAACAACTATCCAAGTTTTCCTGGACCGCAGAGTTATGGCCGGCTTCAAGACTCTCCGCACGATAGCAGTGACAGCTCACTTGAGGACGATTTAGATAGTATTACTCCGGTGAGGATTAATGTTCGATTTGATTTGTGAAGGACTCGGGTATTAAACAAAGAAAACAGATTAAAAGAAAAAAAAAAAGGTCCGCTCTG